ACTTGTACAAATAGTAGTATTTCTATATAGTCACTATGTAGTTACTATTTTTAAATTACTAATAAAGATACGAGCAAGTCCTCACCTTAATACCAAAAAAAAAAAAAGATACATAAAAGATAAAGTTGGATATTTTTTAGCACTAAATGCTTCAGTCACCTAATCAAATGGCTCAAAAATCTTTATCATCTTCACTAGGTAAGCAACATATAAGTTTTTGACCATCTTTTCTTTCATCTAAATTTCATGAAATATTCAGATTAGCTTCTAACCATATAATAGCATCCTTTAATTTTATTAGTCTTTTCCATGATCGATATTTCAAATTCTAATAGGTAGGACAATTTTTAACTAGCCGAAGAGCTTGGGAAGCTAAATTTACATTCGGTTGTTCTATTAAATTTCCGTTATCAACTTCACCAGGTTCTTCATCTTTACTATATACTTCAGCATCAATTGATTCAGAAATAAGTAAGTGATCTCTTTCTGCTATAGCAATTTGGGCTTTTTCTAGTTTTTCATTTTGTTTTGGAGAATCAAAAAATTTAACAAGCTTTTTTATTTTTTTTACATGTGGGCAGATATTTGTAAGACAAAATTAACTGTCAATTGCAAAGTATATGCCGTGCATGGAATTCACTCAACAGAATTCCATTTTTGAATTGCCTTTACCATATTAGCCTCGTTATCAGTAACAGCATATGCAATTTTATCTTGAAGGTTAAATTGAATACATTTTTTATAATAAATTGGTATATGGATCACTTGTATAGGATATGGCATTTTCGCGCAGCAAATTGTTATGCTATACAGTTTCCAATTAGGGCTATCCAGTGACAAGTAATTCCTATGTAACCTTCCTTATTTCGTGATATCCATAAATCAGCTGTTATTGTAGCAGTTTTACAGGAAGATACAATTTCATCTTGAAGAACACTGATATTTTTTTGATAACTGAATGCTATTTCATTTTTTATTAAGCGATTAGAAGGAGGATGAAATTTTGGGTCAATTACTTCCATCATTCGATGGAATCCTTTTTTTCGTGGTGTATTTAATAGCTGACTATCGAGAACGATCTATTCCATGACTGCTTGCTATTTTCTGATTGTTTGGCATTTTTATGTGGAGCATTAACCTTGATTATTTCAGGTAATTTAGTTTGACGTGCTTGTTGAATTTGGCTTCAATTTACTATTATCTACAATATTGTGAACTGAACGCAAATGAGCAATCATATTAGACGTTGCCCATCATGAGTATACTCTATTCCACACTTCTGTTCTTTTCCTTATACTTTCACGACAACTTGACACACATTATCCGTATCAATTAACTTAAAGTGTTTCCATACGAAACTTCTTTTACGTTTAGAACAATTTTTTTTTTTAGGTGCAGGTTTAAAGGTGGCATTAGGTGGATCATTTCCATCATAATGACTTCATTTTCTGAAACAACTTAAACTAGATTCTTCTTGGTAATCCTCTTGAGAATCCTCTTGAGAATTATCTTGAGGAGAATTGTGAAAATCCATTTTCTGATCAATAAAACAAAAAAACCCATATTTATTTAATAGCAAAAAACAATTCAGCAAACTTTATCAAAGAATACACAATAAAAGGCTTTATTAGATAGTGTTTTAAGGTAAAGTATGGGCCCTTATTTGAGTTATTTTAAACTCAAGAAAGAGATGATTTTATTAATTGTTGCAGCTGATACTGAAAACGGCTGATGCTGAAATTCGGACCTATTTTGATATGAATTTTTAAAAAATTTTTAGGATGTTTTTTCCCCGCTTTTTTTTTTAAAGTTGAGTTAGTATTTAGGGTTAGAATTGATAATTAATGAGTATATGTGGATTTTAGCAGGGCTTATATTTTTAAATAGAGACCCCAAATTTTAGCATCAGCCGTTTTCAGCATCAGCTGCGACATTAATTTAATTTTTCTGTTCTTTTATAATTTTACAATTTTTTGTCATATTTCATCTTATCTATGCAATCATATGGATTTCAAGAAATAGAATCAAGGAATCTCATTGAAATCACGGCTTGGGCTTGTAAAAGAGGAGGTTTAAATATAATTTTTCCTTATTAGCGAAATTTTTTGATACCTTACAATTTTTTTTTTTTTTACCCGAATTCATGCTAATTGTTCTTCTGATTTCTTTTTAGTATGAATTTGAATGTTGTTTGGAATTCACTATGAATTTTTTATGGTTAATTGCACAGCCTTTAATGTAGCCTTTCATTTTGTTAATATTAATTCCTGGACTTTGGCTTTTATAACTTGACTATTTTGGTTTAGTAATTCTGCGCAAGACCATCATTGGGATCATGGGAAAGATTCTCATGTGGGTCACAGCATCATCCATAGGGATGTGAAAAGTTTGTTCCAGTTTGACTCAACTCCAAGTCAGACTTGAAATTAAGTCCTAATAGTCTGTCATGCTACATACAATGAAACAATCAACTATGCATACAAGAAAAGTTAGTGTATATTTTTTTATACACACATGGCATATAATATTGCATGTGACTATTAGGACTCGGTCACAAGTCTGACTTGGAACCGAATCTAAATTAAAACTCGACTTTGTTGGGTCGATTGGACCGGACAGGACTTTTCACATCCCTAATCACCCACATACTAATTAACCTATATATTTTTTATTTAACATGCATGCTTATTATTTTAGGAGGAGGAATTTTTTTTTGATTCCTTCCGAATATATTACCAATGAATTAATTTATGACTTTTCCTTTTTGGTATAATCAAGCATCTTAACTAAATTATATAGTAATTGTTGTATGAGTTAGTGTATGCTAACACAAGGCTAACACAAGGCTAACACAATAGCATGAGTCCTTTATATAATTTAGTATGTTCTTTTTATATTAAACGAAATGTATAAATATAAAGTGATGTAATTATTTTAATAAAGAAAAAATCCTGTTTTATTGTGAAGCATCAATAGTTATAATAAAGGTGAGTATTGCTTTACATTTTTGTAGTTCATAGCATTGTAGTTAGCCTGTTTGACTAGGGTTGTTAATAGAGTACTCCAAACTATAAAAAACATATAAACCACACCAGTTTGAAACTGGAGTGGTTTATATATTTTATTATAGTTTGGAGTACTCCATTAACAACTCTACGTTTGATACTTAATCTTATAAATAGTAGTAATTGACAGCATTTATATAGATTTGGAATAAATTAATGCGCTAGTGTTATATTGTATAGAAAAACTTATAAACTTTAACAAGAAATTAATATTTATAATGTTCTTTGTTTCTATAATTCAATTTGTAGAATATGATTGGTATTAAAGTTACAGATCATAATTTGTCGAATTTTTATGTTACTATCCTTTGATCGGTTAATACTGTTTTTATATTACTAATTTAAACACGTAGTGGTAAATATATCCCTTAGTAAAAGTATCATATTTTAAGGCGCATGTGACTTTTCATAATCTGTTGTTTTATTCTATTTGATAAAATATATGTTCTTTTGAATTCACAATCAAATTACTATTTTTGTATTAGTACTTTATCTGAAAACATGTTATATAAAATACTAGTATTCTATAAATGTTGACTTTCTCATTATGATTTACATTCCATGATGATTTCGTGCTATCTAGTTTATATCTATATAAATTAACTAGATTAACCGGTTAAGCATAATTTATTCCGGGATAGTATCAAGATAACGGTTTCTGGGTTGTCAAATAAACAGGTACAACCTCTATATTAGTATCTTTGAGCATCTTTGAAATTGTATACGTATCTCTTAGGAATTCAGAATGTATTATTTCATGATTCAAGTCATGGCAATTATTCATTTATAAATTGCAAGTTAAAAAGCAAATATTAGATTAGGGTTAGAGTTAGAGTAAGTGCTAGTTAGGGTTTAAATTAAGGTTATTATATAGTAAAATCGCTCAAGGAAAATTTTTTGTTTAATAAAGTGATTTTTTATACAAATGAACATGTTAATTAAACCAAATTATAAACATTTTTGATATGAGAGTGAAATTTTAATAGTGATACTGGTGTTACAATTTGAAATTGTGACATTAGAAGATTCAAACTTCCCGAGTAGTTTACTTCTTCTGTAGATAGAACTTCTTTTTATTTAGTATAAATAACTTCATTTCTATTTTTGTATAATTTATTAAATATTAGTCAAAATTTGTATAAACTTGATGATTGATATATAATTAACCTTTTTGTAAAATTTTCATAACATATTAAAGTGTTAGCATATATGCATGTTAAGGAGTATAGACAGATACAGGATGTAGGTGAAATTTTCCAGATCATGTGAAAACCCAGCCTCCGATCACTCCTCCGATCAAGATCAGCTCTCTCCAGTTACACAAATTATACTCTATATATTTATACATCATCAGCAAAAAAAATATACGAAATCTTTTGAAAGAAATTGCAGACCGAAATCTTTCAAAAGAATTGCGATTGATGTGAAATCTTTCGAAAGATCTGCAATCTTTAGAAAGATTTCAGCATGCATTTCTTTCAAACTATTTCGAAATAAATTTCGAAATATTTCAAAACATATTGTGAAATATTGCGAAATAGGCTAAATAAAAAAATACAAACCGCTATTTAATATTTGAATATTTTCACAAATTTTCGAAATATTTCGCAAAATTTTGCAAAATTTAAAATTTTTTAAAAAAATAAACGATATATATATTTATATATGTTTTTGCAAATATTTAAAAGTTTTCAAAAGTTTTTGCAAGATTTCGAAAGATTTCGCAATTTTAAAATTTTTTATTATAATATTTAAATTACATGCATTTTTTATTTTTTATTTTTTTTTAAAATTTGATTTATTTTTTTTTTTAGTTGAATACAAATTACAAAGAAAACAGACGAAAACGAGGCAAAAAACAGAATGAAAGATGGGATGAAAATGGTAATAAACAAACCAAAAAACAACAGGAAACCCATCAAAAATTACAAAGAACCACCACCGAAGGACTTTACAAACCCATAAAAACAATGAAGAACTACCAAAAAAAGATAAAAAACCACCAAAGAACTTATAGAAGCAACCGACGAAGAGACAAAGAACCTACTTACTGAAAAATGACAAAATTACTAAAGTACTTGCAGAACCTTTCAATGAAGAGCCACAGAACCTACTGACGAAGAGACAAAGAATCTACTTACTGAAAAACAACAAAATTACATACTGAAAAATGATGAACTTCGAAGGACGTAAAGAAGCTACTATGAAGAGACAAAGAATCTACCCACTGAAAAATAATAAAATTATGAACTGAAAAATGATAAAGAACCCAAAGAACTTTTAGAAGCCACCAACTAAGGGACAAAGAACCTACCCACTGAAAAATGACAAAATTACGCACCAAAAAATGACGAAGAATTACTGAAGAACTTGCAAAACCTACTGACGAAGAGACACAGAACCTACCAATGAAGAGACAAAGAATCTGCCTACCAAAAAACAACAAATTACATACTAAAAATGATAAAAAAAACTACTGAGGGACTTACAGAAGCTACGATGAAGAGACAAAGAACCTACCCACTAAAAACTGCCAAAATTGCAGACTGAAAAATGATGAAGAACTACCAAAGAGACGAGAATTACTGAAAAATTTACAGGAAAATCCACTGAGAATTAGCAAGAAGTTTCGAAGTTCTCAGCAATAACTTGAAAAGATTCTAAACAACTAAAAATATATATTTGGTTAAAAAAAAAACAATTTTCCAAAAAAAAAAATAAAAAATAAAATAAAATAAAAAAGAGCGAAAAGAAGCGAAACGAAGTGAAAAAATGCGAAAGAATATGAAAAAACAATGTAAAACTAAATAGAAGATCTAATTATAAACAAAGAAAAAAAAAATAAACAAAGATCTAATCTGATTTTGTAATATATAATTTTGTACATCATTGAAATATTTCGAATATCTTCAAAAATTTTAAACAATGTGCCCTTGGTATGATCCAGGTTACAGATCCTAATTTAGCTTGGTTTCCTGGTTCTAAAAAGATTTTGAAATATTTTGAAAATATTAGACCTAAAATATTTCGAAAGAAATTGTGTTATGCAATTTTTTCCAAAATATTTTGAAATTTATTTCGAAATATTTCAAAAATTACATATTCGAAATATTTCGAAATAAACTTTGAAATATTTCGCATATATAAATTTGCTGATGACAGTGATAGGATATACAAAAAAGGCACTAGCACGAGCGATGAAAAGAAGCACCAGTAAACGACAACACTAGCGACAAAAAGAAGCACAAGATATATAAATATATAGAGTATGATTTGTGTAACTGGAGAGAGCCGATCTTGATCGGAGGAGTGATCAGAGGCCGGGTTTTTACGTGATCTGGAAATCTTATCTACATCCTGTATCTGTTAAGAGGCATGGATTATAAACTTTTTCAATAGCACGTTAACATGCTAGGCTTAGTTGTACTGTTATGTAATGTGTTAAACAACACATTAATATGCCAAACAACATATTAAATATATATAAATGAATGAATTTGACTTCAATAAAGAAATCAATCATGATCTAATACAATAGAATTCAACACTAATACTATACAATACTATACAATACAAGTAGAAAAAAAATAAAGAAAGTAAGTTAGTATAGTGTTAAAGAGACCTTTATTCGAGTAAATTAAAAACTTATTTTCTAGTAACCATTAAAGTTAAGGATAGGGTATACAAATTTCCAATTTCATATAAAATTGATTATAGATCAACTTTGTGTAATCAATTTATATGGGTGTCTCCTATTAAAAGGGCCCATTTTTACAATTTTTTAAAAATTGAGTTTTTATTAGATTCATATAAATTTTAACATGATTAAAATTTTTCAATTATAAATGAAAGTCGATTTGTATAATAAAAAATAGAGATAATGTAAAAGAAATATTAAACAAAGTTGTCTAAAGCCAAGCACATTACAAGACTACCCGATAGTCACCTGCTACATTTAACTAATCAAAATTGTGAATTTGATTAATCCCAGATCAGTCCGAAAATCAAAACAAATGGTTAAACTCAATTATCCCAAAATGAGATGAATGTAAAAATGGGACCTTTTAATAGGAGACACCCATATAAATTGATTACACAAAGTTGATCTATAATCAATTTTATATGAAATTGGAAATTTGTATACCCTATCCTTAACTTTAATGGTTACTAGAAAATAAGTTTTTAATTTACTCGAATAAAGGTCTCTTTAACACTATACTAACTTACTTTCTTTATTTTTTTTCTACTTGTATTGTATAGTATTGTATAGTATTAGTGTTGAATTCTATTGTATTAGATCATGATTGATTTCTTTATTGAAGTCAAATTCATTCATTTATATATATTTAATATGTTGTTTGGCATATTAATGTGTTGTTTAACACATTACATAACAGTACAACTAAGCCTAGCATGTTAACGTGCTATTGAAAAAGTTTATAATCCATGCCTCTTAACAGATACAGGATGTAGATAAGATTTCCAGATCACGTAAAAACCCGGCCTCTGATCACTCCTCCGATCAAGATCGGCTCTCTCCAGTTACACAAATCATACTCTATATATTTATATATCTTGTGCT